TGGGTGAGGGGGAACGGGAGGTACAGGCTTCCAGTTATGGAATGGAGAAGTCGACTGGGATGAAAGGCACAGCACAGGGAATACAGTCAATGGTATTGTGAGAGCATTGTGTGGTGATGGATCGTTGCTGCACTTGGCAGCCCCCAAATCAAATGTTTATAAAGATATAAAGATAGCAAAAATCTATGCTCCCCCTGATGCTGTCCTCCTATCCCTTCCTTTACTGCCTATTCCGAAATAACCGCTGTTAATACTTGTGTATCTGTGATGGTTTATTTTATGTGTCAGCTTGGCGAGGCTACGGTGCCCGGGGGTTGGGTCAAACACCAGTCTAGAAGTTGCCGTGCAGATATTTCTTAGATGTGATAAACACGTGCGATCAGTAGACTTTGAGTAAAGCAGATGATCCTTCATAGTATAAAGGGAGCAGGTGAGCACCTCATCAAAGCAGGTGAAGGCCTTAAAAGCAGACTCAGGTTTCCCAAATAAGAGGGAATATTCCTCAAGGGCACAACATAGAAATTCTTTCCCAAGCTTTCAGCTTGCTGCCCTGCAGAATTTGGATTCGAGACTTGCAACATCAACTCTTTTGTTTTTGTTTTTCAGAGAGGGCAAGTGAGTGAGGGGCACAGAGAGAGAGAGAGAGAGAGAGAGAGAGAGAGAGAGAGAACCCCACGAGGAGCAGAGAGAGACGGGAGAAAGAGAGAGAAGTGGGGCTCATGTTCACCTGAAGTGGGGCTTGAGCTCCCCCGATGAGGGACTCGAACTCAGGAGCCATGAGATCACAGACCTGAGCCAAAGTCAGATGCTTAACCAATTGAGCGGCCCAGGTGCCCTGCAACATCAACTCTTGCCTGAATTTCCAGCCTGTCAGCCTGACCTGTGACTTTCAGACTTGCCAGCCTCCAGAACTGCATAAGCCAATTCCTTAAAACCACCCCCCCCCCTTTCTGTCTCTCTCCTATTGATTCTGCTTCTCTGGGAACCCTGACTAATAGAACACCTGTGGTGGGGATGGATAGCTGTCTCCCCAAATCCACACTTTGCTCTCCTAGTTAACTATGAGCTGCAGTTCGCTGTGGCCATGCAGCTAAGTTCTCCCCACCGGTATGGAAAGAGAAGTGATATGAACCATTTCCATGCCTGATCCATCATTACACCTCCTCGCTCTTCCTCTTTTCTGGATGACTGACCGGGTGACACTGAAAGCATCCTTGGCACCCATGTGTTGAAGATGGCATCCTGCATCCTTTAATAACTGTGTGGAGCAGAGCCCCCTCCTTCCCACCCCGGCCCCACAGATCTTGAATGTTCTCACCTACGTGTCTCCAGACTGTTTGGGAAGTGGTAAATAAATTTCTACAGCTTTCAAGTTACTGCATTTTGGATGTGTTTACTAAGCTAGTTTCACATATCCTGACTAATTCAGAAGTTGGTCCCTTGGAGTGGAGTGCTGTGTAAAATAAACACCTAAAACATAGGCACTGGCTTCGTAGATGCACAGCAGAAGGTTAGGAACTGGTGTCACTGGCTGACCAGCTGGCGTATCCTCTGATGTTTGGCAAAACAGTGGTAGGACCGTTGCTGTGGTGACTTGAGCAGATATAGTTCCTATGGCACCAGGACTTTCTAGAGCAGGTGGTCGGAATGAGCCAGAATGTGTGAAGTGGTTGCCTCTTGCTGTGTTTAGCTGGGTATTACCAGAAGGAGAGGAGCTCAGACCAGAATCTACTGGTTTTGAAGCAGAAGAAGGGAGTGAAGAGTCCCGAAAGTTGGGGACCCTGTAGATATTGGAAAGCCAACTGCTTCAGTAGCATAAATGGCAAGAGGCAAGACTTGCTGGCCTGGTCTCAGAAGCATCTCATTAAGCCATCTCAGGCCAACAAAGATCTCGTTTCAGTCTTACCCAATTGTTCCAGGGGTTTTCAAGGCAGCTGCCACTAAATTGACAACAGAGGAGCTCAGGGGCCAGGAATTCCCTAAGTTATGAAACAGGTTAAAGGACTTCATCTGGAAAGGAACTCCGGGCGTGGCTCCTGACACATGGACTGGACCGAAGCAAAGTAATGCCTTGTAAGTTTCCGAAGTAAGCGTATTCCTGAAAAACCCACCGGGACCTTGGCCTAAAAAAAGTCTTTGTTAAAATAAAACAAATCTTGCGCTCCCAAACTTGCAGACATCAGGCTGTGAAAGCTGAATAGTCCTCCAAGAGGGCTACTCTTGACCACCTACTTTAGATTTCTGCCCATCACAGGTTTTTAGTATTTTGACTAAGATGTGTTTTGGTGTAGTTTTCTTAGGGTTTCTTCTGCTTGGAGCTCATTGAACTTCTTGGATTGATAAATTTATACTTTTCATGAAATTTGGAAAAATGTTGACCATTATTTCTTCGAATATTTTTCTTTCCACCCCCCCCCCCCACCAACTTCTGAGACTTCAGTTACATATATGTTAGGTCACTAGATATTGTCCCACAGCCCAGCAATGCTCTATTTATTGTGCTTTCTGGTCCTTTTCCTCTGTTTCATTTTATTTATAAAAAATTTTTTTAATGTTTATTTATTTTTGAAAGAGTGCAGGCGGGGGAGGGGCAGACAGAGAGGGAGACATAGAATCCCAAGCAGGTTCCAGGTTCTGAGCTGTCAGCACAGAGCCCAACATGGGGCTTGAACCCACGAACCGTGAGATCATGACCTGAGTCGAAGTCAGATGCTGAGATACCCAGGTGGTCCTGTGTGTTTTTCATTTTAGAGAGTTTCTACTGCTATGTCTCCAAATCCACTAATCTTTTCTTTTGAAGCATCTATTAATCTGTTAACTCCATATGGTAGATTAAAATGTTCGGATGTTTTTCTTATATCTTTTTTTAATGTTTTTTTTTTAAGTGTTTTTTTAAATTTATTTTTGAGACAGAGAGAGACAGAGCATGAACGGGGGAGGGGCAGAGAGAGAGGGAGACACAGAATTGGAAGCAGGCTCCAGGCTCCGAGCCGTCAGCCCAGAGCCCGACGCGGGGCTCGAACTCACAGACCGCGAGATCGTGACCTGAGCTGAAGCCGGACGCCCAACCGACTGAGTCACCCAGGCACCCCTCTTTTTTTTAATGTTTTATTTATTTTTGAGAGAGAGAGAGCATGTTAGGGAAGGAGGGGCAAAGAGAGAGGGAGACAGAGGATCTGAAGCGGCCTCTGAGCTGACAGTAGAGAACCCGACTCTGGGCTCCAACTCAAAAGCTGCAAGATCATGGCCTCAGCCAAAATCAACAGTCTGACGCTTAACTGGGTCACCCAGGTACCCCTGTGGATCTTTCTTTTGATTGATTTTTCTCCTGGGGGTTGGCATGCATGATAATTTTTTATTGGCTCTGGACATTCTGGATTATACTTTTTTAGATGCTAGACTTTGTTGTATTCCTTTAAATATTTGGGGGGCGGGGTTTGTTCTGGGGCACAGGTGATTTACTTGGAATTGATTAGATCCTTCTGAGGTTGGCTGTTTAGCATTGTTATGGCAGGCCCAGAGCAGCCACGAGCCTAAGGCTAATGTGACCGCACTATTGAGGCAATATGCTTCTGAGGACCCCGCACAACGCCCTGTATTATATATTTTAAATGTTTATTTATTTTTGAGAGAGAGAGTGGGAGAGGGGCAGAGAGAGATGGAGACAGAGAATCCCAAGCAGGCTGCGTGCTGTCAGCTCAGATGTGGGGCTCGAACTCACAAATCCTGAGATCATGACCTGACCGAAATGGAGAGGCGGATGCTGTACCGACTTAGCCACCCAGGCGCTCCCACGATGCCCTATATTATAAGGTCTGGCTGGAACACAAACAATCCTCAGTCCTGTAAGAGCTCAAGGGATTTTTCTGCTTATTATTTTTTGGGGGGGTTCCCTTGGTCCTGAGTAGTCTCCTCACTACTGAGTGATTACTATACACATCATTATTCAGCCTTCAAATCCAGGGCACTCCCTGCGGATCTCCGAAGCTCTCCCTTTGTATAGGTCGGTCCTTTTTAGCCGCCTTCACCCTCTTGAACTCTGCATTCTGTCTCCTCAGTTCAGGAAGGTGGCTGGGCCCCGTGTGGGTTCCCTCTCCCTGCACTGTGGCCTGGAAACTCTTTTTAGGCAGAGAGCTGGGAAACTTGAAGGGCTCGCTGCAGACCATTATTCTCCGTTGCCTGTCCTCCCCTATCTGTAAGTTGTTGTTTCCTGTATTTTGCCCAGTTTTCTAGTTGTTTAAGGCAGGAAGATAAATCTGGCTCCGTTATTCCGTCATCACTGGAAACAGGAGTCTCAACACCCACTTCAGATGAGGACCTGGAAGAGAGGGGGGTAAGAAAGTACCACAGTCAGGAACTTAACGTTCTCCGGGCTCTGCCGACCTTTTTTTTTCCCCCCTTCTTATCTTTATTGAAGTAAACTTGACAAATAAAAATTGTATATATTTAAGGGGTTTTCACATATCCCTTGATGTTTTATGTATATACATATATACTGTGACATAATCACAAGCATTTCACATGTGCATCTCACATAGTTAACATTTTCTGTGTGTGTGTGTGCAGGACACTGGTGTGTGGCCCTTCTGGCTAAGCAAGGGCCTGACCTGGTCCGCCCAGGAGCCTGCTGACCCCCAGCAAGTCTCCCAGATCCCGCTCCTCACCTGGGGTTCCGCCGGAAGGCCACCAGCTGCAGCTCGCCCCGCCTGCCCGCGGCCCCGCCCCTCCTCGGCCCACCCCCCTTTCGCCCTGCCTCCCGGCGGTCCGACCCCGCCCCTCCACCTCCCCGCGGGCCCCCCCTCTCGCCAGGCCTCCCGAGGCCCCCCCCCCCCCAGGCCGGCCCCGTCCCGTCCTGCGGCTCTTCTGGCTTCCCCGGGACCCCGCCCCTCCCCTTCCCCGAGGGCCCCGCCGCTCGACAGTCCTCCCGCGGCCCTGCCCCCGCAGGCGGCCCCGCCCCTCCCTGCCGCTCTCCCTCCTTCCCCGAGACCCCGCCCCTCCCCGCCCCTCGTCCTGCCTCTCCGCCCCGGCGCGGCCCTGAGCTTTGGTCCCCGCGCCCCGCCAGTCCCGTATGTTTTTCCGAGGGGGCCTGGTCGCCTTCTCGCCTTGTGTCCGCGCTCTTCGGCCTGGTCCTGTCGCGGCCATGAACACTGGCAGTTTCGTTGTGTCGCAGCCGCTCAATTACCGTGGCGGGGCCCGCGTGGAACCGGTGGACGCCTCCGGCACCGAGAAGGCGTTCGAGCCTGCAACCGGTAACGGAATGGAGACCGGGCGGCGGGGTCGGGGGTGTTGCGGCGGGGGGCCCGCGGGGGTCGTGGGAGGGGACCGGTGGGGGGACGCGGCGGCGGGCCCGGGGGATCGTGGCGGGGGGAGGCTGGGGGGAAGCGGTGGGGTCCCGGTGCGGGTTGGAGCCTCCCCGTCCCACTCGTGGACGGACGTGTTCTGTCCTGAATCTTCATTTAGTGCTTTTTGCAAACGTTTGCTGTGATAGATGAGTGACGGTGTGGAAAATAGAGTTGTCTGTGCAGGCAGCTAAGGACTCCGTGCAAACACGAATGCATCTGCATAGGGACCCGGGGCGGGGGGTGGGGGGTGGGGGTGGGGATAGATAGGTGTGTGAGGTTGTGCCCCTGTTTATTATTAACTTTTATTAAAACGTGTTTTAAAATGTTGAGTCATTTTTGAGAGACAGAGACAGGGCATGAGCGAGGGAGGGGCAGAGAGAGAGGGAGGCACAGAATCCAAAGCAGGCTCCAGGCTCTGAGCCGTCAGCACAGAGACCGACGCGGGGCTCGAACTCACAGACCGTGAGATCATGACCTGAGCCCAAGTTGGCGCTTAACCACCTGAGCCACCTGGGCGCCCTGAAGACTACATTTTTATTTTACTTTATATATTTTGAGAGACAGCAAATGGGGAAGGAGCAGAGAGAGAAGGAGAGAGAATCCCAAGCAGGCTCCCTGGTGTCAGCCTGGAGCCTGACATGGGGTTTGAACTCACAAACCGTGAGATTATGCCCTGAGCTGAAACCCAAGAGTTGGTGGTTTAACCAACTGAGTCACCCAGGTGCCCCTGTTTTGTTTTGTTTTTTTTTTTTTTAAGTTAGAACTACAGTAATGTCTTCAACCACGTGCACAGAAGAGGATTGGGATTTCTTGAAGGACGTTGGTGAAAACATGAGTGCTGAGAACAGAGGAGCTTGCACAGATGGCTCTAATGAGTGTGAATGAGAACTCTGTTGCCATCTCAGCCTTAAAATACTCCTGTGGGTGCATCAGACTTGGGAAAGGGAGGGATGTCTGGGTGGCTCAACTGGTTAAGCATCTGACTTCGGCTCAGGTTACGATCTGGTTGTTGGTGAGTTTGCTTTGGGCTCTGTGCTGACAGCTCAGAGCCTGGAGCCTGGTTCAGATTCTGTCTCTGTCTCCACCCCTCCCCCGATCACACTTGGTCTCTGTCTCTCTCTCTCAAAAATAAATATTCAAACAAATGAGAATTGGGAAAGGGGGCAAAAGCCCTGCTTTTATCCAGTGCTTCAAGTTGCCAAGCACAGTGCTGGGCCCTGGATTTGCTCTGAGAATTCTGAAGGTAACACAGCTAACGAGGAAGAGGTTTTGGTTTTGGTTTGTTTGTTCTGCTGGGCTGTGTGGGATATTTGTGGGGAGAAAAATGTGAATGTTTTGTGCAAACCAGAATGGCGGGTAGCCAGAGACAAAACTGGGTTGCAAAGGACTGGAGAATTTAAGATCAACTAAGGCACGAAACCACAGAGCAGCAGTTAGTCTGAGCAGGAAGGAGCCACGGGGGTCCTCAGACTCTCCTGGGGGAGACCGCCTCTCCACCCCCATCCCCATACTTACCAAGGGAAAAGAAAATTTGCTCTGTATTTTAACTGCCTACAGTGTATGTGAACTTTAGCCACTGCCTTTACCAACTAGCTATTCACGTTTTAACAGAAATTGCAGGCTTGCCAAAGGTCTCTGGACAGAGTCCCAGAGGTTCTTAGAGGGGGAGGGAGAAGGAACTGCTGATTGGTGTACTTCAAGAATTCAGTGGGAGAGGCCGTCACAACCCTTGGCCTGTGGGGTCATGTTGCATGGAAATAGGGAATGACCTTGGAGTGAGAAAAGGAGAGACGGGACTTTGCTATATTTGGGGGAAACTTTTTCTGGCGTTTAGGGTTATGTCTTCCTGATAACTGTTTGTTGATCGTATTCATCAAGCATCAGCAGGATGATAGGATTTCTACAGAACAGAGCTTTTAAATGAGAGTTCATAACCCCAGAAACCGAGTACTTGCAGCCTCGATTTCACAAGACCTCGGAGATTCTCAAGTACTGTTAAAGAGAGGTGGCAAAACCCAGCTGCAAAATAGAGGACAGAGGTTCTCAACCGGGAGGCCATGCTGTGCTTAGGGCAAGGCGCCTGGTCTCTCTGGAATTCTGTGGTGTGGTCAAGTACTTTTTCCTGGACCGTAGTTTGCAACTTTTGTTAGATTCCTAAAGGATTCAGTCACCTCTAAAGGAAAGGACTGCCTGGGGGGGTGGGGGGAGGTCATTAAATCCAACCACACTTACCAGCAAGAAGGGTCACTTACAGGGAATTTGGATACACAGTACTTTGAATGTGAAGCCACGTTGGCGTTACTGTTCTGTCCTAGGCCGAGTGATCGCTACCTTCGCGTGCTCAGGAGAGAAGGAAGTAAACTTGGCTGTCCAGGATGCAAAGGCTGCCTTTAAAATATGGAGTCAGAAATCTGGCATGGAGCGTTGTCGAGTTCTTTTGGAAGCTGCCAGGATAATAAGGGTATGTTTCATTAGTTTTTTTCTCTTTCAGAAATGTCCCCTTGTGTTGCTCTGAGGGTTCTTTGTGATGCTTTGCACTTAGACTTTGATGCTCTGTTAGGTTAGGCCTTTTTTACAAAATGGAAACACCTTTTCTTTCTCTTTCTTTTTTCTTTTCTTTCTTTCCCTTTTTTTTTCCCCCATGGAAAGAGAGGGCGCAGGTGAGAGAGCAGTGGGGCTCACCCGAAGTGGGGCTCCTACTCCCTGGAAGTGGCTTGAACTCATGAACGGTGAGACCATGACCTGAGCCGAAGCCAGATGCTTAATCAATTGAGCCACTGGAGGAGCCTGTAAAAAACATTTTCATTTGATCACCTGGGTATATATAGGACATGCTTTCTTTGATTAATTGCTTTCTGGACCTTGGCTCTCTGTGACCTCTCCCATGTCAGGTTGTTTTCTCCATCTTTGTTATAATGTATCCTTTGCAGCTTGGCAACTTTTCTTTTTAACTCTGTGCACTGGTTTCCTGTTTACTTTTTCCTCTGATGACGCCTAAGTTTTCTTTTTCAGATGCATTTTGTACCTTAATTGCTTGGGAAGATTTCATAGATTTATAGATATCCCCCCCCTTTTTTTTTTTTCCAATTTTAAGGCATGGGAAGGGGGGGGGGGTGGGGGTGGGGGGGGAGAGAGAGAGAATATCTTAAGCAGGCTCCACACTCAGAGCCCGATGTGCGGCTCAATCGCATGACCCTGAGATCATGACCTGAGCCAAAATCAAGAGGTGAACACTCAACCGAGTGAGCGTCCCAGGCACCCCTAGATATTCTGTTCTTAAAAAACAAAGTTAAACGTTTTATAGTCTTTTTAAAATAATTTTATTTATTTAAGTTATCTTTAGGCTCAACATTGGGCTCGAACTCATGACCCTGAGATCAAGCATTGCATGCTCCACTGTTTGAGCCCCTAAACTTTTCAGTCTTTAAAAGCAAAAGGACTAGGTGCTTATTACAGAAAATTAGAAAATTCAGAAGGATGTACACCAAAGTATGAATCGTGGTTATCTCTGAGCTGTAGAACTTGGGTGATTTTTATTCTCATGAGTGTGTTAAGTCAAAAGCTGCGATGTGTCTGAGAATTCCCCTACTTGCAAAGATATGTTGCATATAGGGATACAGTAAAATTTTGGTTTGCAAGCATAATTTGTTCCGGAAACATGACTGTAATCCAAAGCACTTGTACATCAAGGTGAATTTCAAGAACCGTGGGCTCAGTTGTGATCATGTGTCATGTACTACTTGAATTGCAAGACATCGCTGGTTTATCAAGTTGAAATCTTTGGAGGTGTTTACTTGTCTTGCGGAACACTCACAGAATAAGTTATTCACGATCCGAAGCTTTAATTTGTTTTAGGAAATTAAGAAGAAAAGTGTGTGTGTAGTGATGGAAGACTTGAGAGTTGCTGGGTCAGAGAAAGATACAGGTTATCACTCACAATAAAATGCAGTAGCCAGAGCGGTGCCTTAGCACTAGTTTTCTGAGCCACAGTCCCCACAGGGAAATGTGTTGAGCCAAACACCTCTCTCTTGCATGCAGTGGGTTGCCCCATAGGACGGGAACCCTTAAGTTATGAGATTCCGTTGATATAGGAGCTGCTCTCACATCAGTGCGTGTTCTTCTCTGCAGCGAGAGAGATTACTCTTTGTTAAACAGATCTCCAGGGTTAAGGGGGGAGGGGTTACTGGGTTTATTTCCTTGGAAAGTAAGCACATGTCTCCAAAAAGGGGAAGCAGAGAGCCTTCTATCTCCTCACCCCTCCAGGCACCTCTATCTTTAGGGAAACACTGTGTCTGTTTTTCAAAGGCCTTTGCTTCTCAGTCAGCTTGCCAGGGTCGTTTGCTCAGAAAGCCGGGGCCACAGAGATGTCAAAATGTTCATGGAGCATTTTCTCCCAACTGAGTATTTTCCCCTATTATTAAAAAATTAATTTTGGGGTGCCTGGGTGGCTCAGTCAGTTGAACATCTGACTCTTGATCTTGGCTCAAGTCATGATCTCCTAGTTTGTGAGGTTCAAGCCTGCGTTGGGCTCTGTGCTGACGGTGCGGAGCCTGCTTGGGATTCTGTCTGTCCCTTTCTTCTCCCCTGTCTTTCCCCTCCCCCCACTTCTCTCAAAATAAATAAATAAAAACATAAGTATTTTAAATTAGACCAAAAGCAATAAAGCAGATGATTTATTATTTTAGTTTTTCACCTTTTCTTAGCACATAAGCATTTAGGGTTGTTGTGTCCTCTCAAGAATTGACCCCTGGGGTCAAGCATTCGACTTGCTCAACCCCAGGTTAAGCATTCGACTTTGGCTTGGGTCATGATACCGTGATTTGTGGGTTCGAGCCCCATGTTGGGCTCTGTGTGGACAGCCCAGAGCCTGGAGCCTGCTTCGGATTCTGTGTCTCCCTTTCTCTCAGCCCTCCCCTACTCATGCTCTATCTCACCCTTTCTCTCAAAAATAAACAAACATTAAAAAAAAAAATTGGCCCCTTTATCATTATTAAGTGACTCTTTTTTTTTTTATCCTGAATAATATAATATTCTTTTGCTCTGAAATGGACTCTGTTTGATATTAGTTTTCTTTTCCTTTTAACCTCTCCCCCTTTCCATTAATATCTGTGTTACTGTGTTAGTCAAAAATATATTGCTATCTTTTTGTAATGCTCCTGTCTGATGCTCATGCCCTATACCTGCCTTTACCCAAAATTATCCCGTAACTGAACAGATTCCACCCTCTAATCATAACCTATAATCATAACCTTCCATTGTTTATTAGTTCTTCCCTTTTTTTTTAAGATTTTACTTTTGGGGCGTCTAGGTGGCTCAGTCGGTTGAGTGTCTGACTTCGGCTCAGGTCATGATCTCACAGCATGTGGGTTCGAGCCCCATGTCAGGCTTTGTGCTGACAGCTCGGAACCTGGAACCTGCTTCAGATTCTGTGCCTCCCTATCTCTCTCTGGCCCAACCCACTCACATTCTGTCTCTGTGTCTCTCAAAAATAAATAAACATTGGGGCGCCTGGGTGGCGCAGTCGGTTAAGCATCCGACTTCGGCCCGGTCATGATCTCGCGGTCCGTGAGTTCGAGCCCCGCGTCAGGCTCTGGGCTGATGGCTCAGAGCCTGGAGCCTGTTTCCGATTCTGTGTCTCCCTCTCTCTCTGCCCCTCCCCTGTTCATGCTCTGTCTCTCTCTCTCCCAAAAATAAATAAACGTTGAAAAAAAAAATTAAAAAAAAAATTTTTTAAGATTTTACTTTTTACTTTTTTAAAGTTTATTTATTTTGAGAGATGGAGAGCATGACTGAGGGGTTGGGGGGAGAGGCGGGCGAGAGAATCCCAAGCAGGCCCCACACTGTCAGCCACCGACGTGGGGCTCAAACTCGCAAACTGTCAGATCTTGCCCTCAGCCGAAATCGAGTCAGACGCTTAACCAACAGAGCCACGCAGGTGCCCCAAGGTAAAAATATTTTATATTTACCCACATTTTTACCATTTCCAGTGCTCTTCATTTCATTCCTTTGTGTAGGCCCAGATTTCCATCTGGTGTCATATTTTTTCTGCTTGAAGAAATTTCTTTAGCATTCCTTGTAGCACAGTTTTGCTCGTGATGTTCTTTCAGCTCTTGTGAGTCTGAAAGTCTTCATTTTGCTTTCACTTTTGAAAGAATTTTTGGTATCTAATTCTAGGTTGACAGGGGTTTTTTTTGTTTTAGTTCTTTTTTTTTAAATTTTTCTTAACGTTTTATTTATTTTTGAGAGAGGGAGAGGGACAGAGTGTGATTGGGGGAGGGGCAGAGGGAGAGGGAGACACAGAATCCGAAGCAGGCTCCAGGCTCCGAGCTGTCAGCACAGAGCCCGACGCGGGGCTCGAACTCATGAACCGTGAGATCATGACCTGAGCCGAAGCCGGATGCTCAACCAACTCAGCCACCCAGGAGCCCTTGTTGTTTTGGTTCTTTAAATTAGGAAGTTCTAACTAAATTTCTGCCCATCTCTTCTCCTCGGGGCCTCCAATTACACATAGCCTCAGTGGCTTGAAGCTTTCTCCTGGTTACTGATGCTGTTTGGGTTTTTCCTGTTTTTTTCTCTCTGTGTGTTTTAGTTTGGATTATTTTCCAGTGTTCCCAGTACTTTAATTTAAAACTTACTAACTGCAAGGGCACCTGGGTGGCTCAGTCGGTTGAGCCACTGACTTCGGCTCGGGTCATGATCTCGCGGTTCGTGAGTTCAAGCCGCACGTCGGGCTCTGTGCAGACAGCTCAGAGCCTGGAGTCTGCTTCCGATTCTGTGTCTCCCTCTTTCTCTCTCTCTGCCCCTCCCCAACTCATGCTCTGTCTCTGTCTCAAAAATAAACATAAAAAGAAAATACTAACTGCAGAAAACCTGTCTCGGTGCCCACAAATTGCAATGTCAGGCCTGCCCAGAGTATTTTCTGATCTTACTAGCATGCACTGGGTGGGACACCATAGGTAGTGGCATAGAGGTCTGCAGTATACTTTGAAAGTGTGCGGAGGAGGGAAAACACTCAGAGGGATGACCGCCGCCTGCTGGTGTTGGGCCCCGTGGAGACAGACGTCGTCTGTGTCCGAGAGCACAGGGTCTGGGCTAATTTATTTAGAACTTACCAGCTTCCTGTTTTAGAAATAGATTTTGTGAAGGCAGAGAATGGATCTCTGTATTTTTTCTTAGTAATGAAGGTAGAATGACTCAGTCAAAAGTCTTTATTTCTCATGTCTTTATAGAAATATGACACATTCAGATCTCACTGTCAGGACTTCCCTTTCCTGTGTTTCCTCTTGATTTTGATATTCCTGCTCCCTCTTCTCTGATATTTGTACTATTGACACATGGCTTGGGATTAATTTCAGTTGCCATTTCATTTGCTTCTGGTCTGGCTCACCGCTTACCCATTTTAGTAAGACAGTGCTACATCTGGTCATTTGTTTGATTCACCTTTTATGTGTGTTCACATATCACCCTCTCATGTATTTTACATCCGGTCCATGAGAGCAAATGTGTATTTCTTACATGCTCCATTCATTCGGTTCTCTCACCTTTGGGACAAAGAAAGGGGAAATTAGCTTTTCTCTTGAGGTCAGTTTCCTAAACCTTTCCAGTCGTCCCTGGACCATCTCCAGCATCTCTCAGCCACATAGGCTACAACTGGAACAGTATTTCGTAAGAGAATTGATGAGTACTGACCATTAGAAAATAATCATCTTGGGGCGCCTGGGTGGCTCAGGCGGTTAAGCGTCCGAGTTCGGCCCAGGTCATGATATCATGGTTTGTGGGTTCGAGTCCCACATCGGGCTCTGTGCCAACAGCTCAGAGCCTGGAGCCTGCTTCAGATTCTGTGTCTCCAGCGCTCTGTGCCCCTCCCTCACTCACTCCCTCTCAAAAATAAATAAACATTGAAAAAAAATTATCTTGTGATTTTCACCTGCTGCATGTCTTGGGGTGAATTAAAGCTGTGCGTGTAATATAACTTCTCACCTGCCAGTTGTGTGTGTAGCCATCGTGTGTCATTGGCTGTCTCACACTATACGTGCAGACGCATATGTGTGCACATATACGTACTTATACATGTATACACATATGATGCTCGCTTCTCAAACCATACCTTTTCTAATTGATCTGGAAAGGGGGTATTGGTCTTAAATCTGTGACGATTAACTTGAGGGTGGCACAGGGCTGCTGTTGAGTGGTAAGCTTTCTCTCCCAGATGTTGCAGTGCCACTCCTTCTAAAGCGCGAGCTGTTTCTGTTTTTGGAAATTGGGCAGCATGTTCTGAGTGTTGAATCTGTTGGGGCGTATGATAAGAAGTCTTTAGTCTTCCTTTTTACCCAAAGGAACGGAGGGATGAAATCGCCACCGTGGAGACCATCAACAATGGAAAGTCCATCTTTGAGGCCCGCTGGGACGTTGACACCTCCTGGCAGTGCCTGGAGTACTACGCGGGCTTGGCTGGATCCATGGCTGGTAAGCCCCAGCTGGGCCTTTCGGGAGCCACTGACCGGGAGGCAGAAATAGATCCTAGTGGCGAAGGGGAGACATTTGGGGCTTGAGACAGACGTGGCTTAAAATCCTGGGTTTAGCCACTCTCTGCATGGGTGACCCCGAGAATTACTTTACCTTTCCTTGTTGAAACTGGAGATGATAATCCCTGTTTTCTTGGGTTATCACAAGGGTTAAATGAGAAAATATATGGAAGGCACTGAGCATGGTGTCTGAGCCTCCGGCCAAGTTGTTGAAAAACCAAGAGTCAGTCAGTGTTCTCAACATTTACTAGTTCTACCTAGTTAGCAAAAAAGATTTTCTCGATTCTTTGTGAAGGTTACAGTAGTGGGTGTTGGATGGCTTCACAGGACCCAGGAGGGCTGTGGGGAGCCAGAAGTCTGACATGTGGGTCCTGCTCTGGAGGCTCCCCTTATTTCCATCATTAAAAAAAAAAGGTTTTTTTTAATGTTTATTTATTTTTGAGAGAGACGAGTGCGAGTGGGGGAGGGAGAGGCTGAGAGAGAGGGAGACACAGAATCGGAAGCGGGCTCCAGGCCCCGAGCTGTCAGCACAGAGCCCGACGTGGGGCTTGAACCCATGAACAGTGAGATCGTGACCTGAGCCGAAGTCGGACGCTCAACCGACTGAGCCACCCAGGCGCCCCCCCATCTCACTTCTTCAAGTTACTATCTGTTAGGTCTTCTCCGGTTTTAGAGAATTATATGAAGTTGAGTGAACACGGGTTTGGAGGATGGAAAGGATTCTTCACTGGAGTGACTATGCAGAGGCAGCATCCGCCCGGCGAGAATGAACAGAAGAGCGGAGACGGGGAGGAGGCCGGCGCAGTGGAGCACGGCTGAGCACGGCTGTTGGCGGAGTCTTGGGAAAAGCGGTCCTGCATTCTCCGTGACGCCTCTGTTTTCCCCTCAGGTGAACACATCCAGCTCCCAGGCGGATCCTTTGGTTATACCAGAAGAGAACCACTTGGCGTATGCGTGGGAATAGGCGCCTGGAACTACCCCTTCCAGATCGCCTGCTGGAAGTCTGCTCCCGCGTTAGCGTGTGGTAAGAGCGAACAGTTCTTCCACCCGTGAGCTGTCCGTTCTGTCCCTCACCTTTTCGTGTGCGCGTGCACACACACTCCTTTGCACACTCACGCTCCACATCATAAGGGGCCTGCTTTGGGGCACCCGAGGCCCCAAGGACCTGTGTCTGCTCCCGCCCGGCCTCGTCGGGGCTTCTAGTGTATGTTATGCGTGTGGATTACATCCATATTATTCCCACTTTTGTTTTTATTTTGTTTTTTAAATTTTTTTTAATCTTTCTTTCTTTCTTTCTTTCTTTCTTTCTTTATTTTTAATTTTTTTTTTCAACATTTATTTATTTTTGGGACAGAGAGAGACAGAGCATTAACGGGGGAGGGGCAGAGAGAGAGGGAGACACAGAATCGGAAACAGGCTCCAGGCTCCGAGCCATCAGCCCAGAGGCTGACGCAGGGCTCAAACTCACGGACCGCGAGATCGTGACCTGGCTGAAGTCGGACACTTAACCGACTGCGCCACCCAGGCGCCCCAAATCTTTATTTATTTTTGAGAGAGAGAGAGACAGAGTGCGAGCAGAGGAGGACAGAGAGAGAGACACACACAGAATCAGAAGCAGGCTCCAGGCTCCGAGCAGCCAGCACAGAGCCCGACGCGGGGCTCGAACCCACAAACCATGAGATCATGACCTGAGCCAAAGTTGGATGCTCAATTGACTGAGCCACCCAGGCGCCCCTATTCCCACTTTTATTTATCTTATTTTTGTTATGGAAAGGAAGGGTGTTCATTTTGGTCCTGGAAGTCTTCTATTTTACTGTGGAATTGATTTTGATTTGTGCTACTTGTAAGCTCTCTTCCTTTCTGGACAAGGATTGTGAAATGAACCTTTGTGTAGGAAGAGGCACTCGGGGGGCGCCTGGGGGGCGCCTGGGTGGCTCAGTCGGTTAAGCGTCCGACTTCAGCCAGGTCACGATCTCGCAGTCCGTGAGTTCGAGCCCAGCGTCGGGCTCTGGGCTGATGACTCAGAGCCTGGAGCCTGTTTCCGATTCTGTGTCTCCCTCTCTCTCTGCCCCTCCCCTGTTCATGCTCTGTCTCTCTCTGTCCCAAAAATAAATAAACGTTGAAAAAAAAAAAATTAAAAAAAAACAAAAAACCTTTTGTTCTTGTGTCTTGGGTTTGTGCAGGTAACGCCATGATCTTCAAACCCTCTCCCTTCACGCCGGTGTCTGTGCTGCTGCTGGCTGAAATCTACACGGAGGCCGGCGTGCCCCCTGGGCTCTTCAACGTGGTGCAAGGAGGGGCCGCCACTGGCCAGTTTCTGTGTCTGCATCGTGATGTGGCCAAAGTCTCCTTCACTGGGAGTGTGCCCACTGGCTCGAAGGTGAAGATAAAACCAGCATCGGTACACACACACACACACACACACACACACACACACACACAAACACACACACACACACACACACACACGGCAGTGCCCAGCCGGCGTGGAGTAGATGTCAGAGGCTCGTCTTCTGATCTGACCTGGCTTGAACTGGGAGGGGGCTGCCGCAGAGATTGGGGGCAGAGATCTGAAGTGTGTTCCGAAGGTGTGAAGCAGGGAGGGAAGTACAGTGGGACGATGAGGACCGCCGACCAGAGGGGGCCCCGCGGGGACGGAAGCCCTCACCTCCCGCCCGCGTCTGAGAGCGCAGGGTCTGGGCCGCCGCTGTGTCTTTGGTGTCTTAACTCATCAGTAGCAGCCACCTCAGAAGGAGGGGTAGCTGCTCAGTTTATTTCAGATGTGTTGTTTTGACCTTAATTGATTGTTAGCCTTGAACATAGTAACAGCATTAGGAGTTTCTACCCATGGCATGCAAATGAACAGTATTTTTAAAAAAAAATGTTTATGTTTATTTTATCTTTGAAAGAGAGAGAGACAGAGCGTGAGCAGGGGAGGGGCAGAGAGAGAGAGAGAGAGAGAGGGAGACACAGAATCCGAAGCAGGCTCCAGGCTGAGCTGTCAGCACAGAGCCGCATGTGGGACCCGAACCCACAAACCATGAGATCATGACCTGAGCTGAAGTTGGACGCCCAACAGACTGAGCCACCCAGGCCCCCCCGAATGAACAGTATTTTTAAAATGAATTCCCTCTTCAGAATGTCAGCTGCAGTCCTATGGTTCTTTTCAGGTGTTCTGGAAAAGACTGTTCTAAACGGGTGAAGGTCAGAGTCATCGACCGGAACAAGGCTGCAGGTCCCGTGTAGTTGTCCCGGAGGCTCAGCTTCTGGTGGGCTTAGCCTGCAGTTTTATCTGAATGTGTTTGTTCTTGTTAAGATCATGGAGATGGCAGCTAAAGGAATCAAACCCATTACCTTGGAGCTGGGAGGCAAATCTCCCCTGATCATCTTCTCCGATTGTGACCTGGAGAACGCCGTGAAGGGAGCGCTGATGGCCAACTTCCTCACGCAAGGCGAGGTGAGCACTTGTCCCCAGCCGAGGGGTGAAAGGAATCTCTTTCCTTTGTCTAGCAGCATGTTTTGAAGCTGTCTGTTTCGAAATAATTGCAGATTGACAGACACGTTGCACAGAGTGCAAAGAATTCCCAGGCACCCCTGACCCACGTTTCTCAGATGTTAACATTTTATCACATTTCCTTTATCATTGTGTTTACCTCTGTACACCCGTAGGCTTGTTATTTTTTCCTCTTTCCTGAACGGTTTGAAAGTTTGCAGACGCAAGACTCATAAGTTCTGTGGGCCTCTGTGCATTTCCTAGAAACAAGTGTGCTCTCTTCCGCAAGCACAGTGCACTCAGTAACCTCACATAGACGGTCTTCAGTCCACAGCCCCTCATCAGATGTTGTCATTTGTTTGCCGGGAGTCCTTTTAGCGAAGAAACAGACCCCACACAACCTCTTCTCTGGTCCAAGACCTAATTCAGGAAGGTGTGTTGCATTTAGTTGTTGTGTTTCCATAATCTTTAGTCTGGAACAGTTAGCTCTTTGGTTATTCTCCTCTTTCCAGGACCTTAACATTTTTGGGGAGTATGAGCTGTTTATTGTGTAGAATGTCCCTCTTGATGGTGGGGAGTCCGTCTGGTGTTTCCTTTTGAGTAGATTTAGGTTATGCATTTTGGGCAGAAGCCACCACAAAAAGTGATGTTGGGTCCTCTTCGAAGGGCGGTTGACTTTGCCGAAGGCGTGTCTTCCTGGGAAGTTGCCGTGTCCTCCTCTGTGGTTCAGTCGAATCACACAGGAGACGGTGGCAGAGGCCTCTGTGCCTTCCCAAGCTGTCCCCCACTCATCTTAGCACCCTTTGGTGATTTTTCCTGGAAGCAGTTTCTATTATGGTGGTCCCCAAATGGGGATTTTCCAATTCTGTTGTTGTTTCTACATTTATTAGTTCCAAGTCTCTACCGTAAGAGGGAACTTTTCCTTCTCTTGTGTTTTTCTTTTTTTCTTTCCCACTCATTTATCATTATGGACCATGGATTCTTTCTTCTGTGGATTACAGTCCATTCCTGTCATTATTTATTTTGATGCTCAAATGACTGTAGATCTGGCTTGTGGCAGCCCATTTCTGTGACCTTTTTTCATTATTCCGTGAGCATGAGTGCTTGGTGTATTTTTGGACATCAGGATCTACGGTTCTGATGGAGTTGGAAGAGTATTCATGCTCATCTTTACAGGAGGGTCTAAATAGTCAGAATTGATTTGTGATTTTAGAGCCAGACGTTGACTGTGAAATTCTTCAGGTTTTTATTAGGCTCATGCCTTTAGTTCTTGGTCTGTTTTCACTCTTCCTCCCCTTCTGCTCTTAAAATACGTGGCCCCATTCAGCCACTGACAGGAGGCCGTAGGAGAAGTTACGTGGCTCATGGCACTATGAATGGCATTGAGGAAATGTAGACAGACAAAAGGACCTGACTTTCACCTCAAAGCGCAGGCAGGTTTTTTGCTGCTAGGGGGGTATATGTGTGGTCTTGTTCAGTATGGGGATAATTTTTAGAGATGGAACTAACCTTTTGAAAAGGTCTCCTGTCTCCTTTTAAGTTTAAAACTGCCGGATTCTTCCCCCTTTTCCTTTTTCTTTCCTTAACACACATACAAATTCATGTCTGTCTTTTAGGTTTGTTGTAATGGCACAAGAGTATTTGTACAAAAGGAAATTCTCGAGAAATTTACAAAGGAAGTGGTGAAACGGACGCAGGGGATAAAAATTGGAGATCCCCTTCTGGAAGGTACAAGGATGGGCCCCCTCATCAACCGCCCACACCTGGAGCGAGTCCTTGGGTTTATTAAGGTGGCAAAAGAGCAGGTGAGGAGCAAGCGGAGATGGCATGGGCAGGGGGAGGGGAATTAGTCCGAGCTGCACGTTATGTGTGTCGCTTTCCTGCTGGCTCGCGAGGCCTCAGCAGTGCTGTGCTCAGTACCTGCAGTGGCGTGACCGTGCGTCTGTTCAGGACACACGTACCACTTCAGGACTGCTTGTCAGGGTTGTAAGTTTAACATGAAATGTGGGGCGCCTGGGGGGCTCAGTCGGTTAGCGTCAGACTTCAGCTTGGGTCATGATCTCACGGCTCGTGGGTTCGAGCCCTGCCTTGGGCTCTGTGCTGACAGCTCGGAGCCCGGAGCCTGCTTCGGATTCTGGGTCTCCCTCTCCCTCTGCCCTTCCCATGCTCCTTCTCTGTTTCTCTGTCTTTCAATAATAAATAAACGTTAAAAAAAAAAACACCGTGAAATGTGCATTCTTTTTTCTTCTCCGGCAGGGTGCTAAAGTGCTGTGCGGTGGAGACGTCTATGTACCTGAAGATCCCAAGTTAAAGGATGGTTATTACATGAGACCTTGCGTGTTGAGTATGTCCTTTTCTTGTTGGCTTTTAAACAGTTTGAATTAAATATCAGCTAGAAAAGGAGATTTATAAAATACGTGTGTGGTGTAAAGCAGGCATTGGCAAACCGTGTCCCCGCTGCTCAGATTTAAGGAGTAGAAGTTCTCCGTTACCTCCCGTGTGCCCTCCCTCTTGGACAGTTGTGTGCGTTGCTTTACCTGAGACTCAACTGGGTCTGAACCTGTTGTTCTGGAAGCAAGAAGCTCAAAGAGAACACGTAAAAAAAAAAAGGGAAGTGCATGTTTGATAAAAAACTAATGAGTTTCATTTTCTCAAGAAAGTTGAAGAATAGGTTTTTCTTTAACTATATGTGTCATTAACAAGCCCAGTTTGTCAGTATGGCAATATTTTAAAATTAATGCGATTTAATAATTTTTAGCATCTCCTTTCAGTCTTAAACATCTCGTGGCGTGGACAGTCGATTGTAGGGTCATCCCGCTGTCCTCAAATCCACTTATTTCTTCCCACCTCAGAGGTGACCACTGCCCTGGGTACCGCTGTTCTCATACCTTCTTCTGTCCTTTTACAGTATACGTTAGGATCCACGAATAAATGCCAGTATGTAAAAACAGTGGTAGTATAATAGGCTTTAAAAAACTATATTCGGGGGCGCCTGGGTGGCTCAGTCGGTTAAGCGTCCGACTTCAGCTCAGGTCATGATCTCGCGGTCCGTGAGTTCGAGCCCCGCGTCAGGCTCTGGGCTGATGGCTCAGAGCCTGGAGCCTGCTTCCGATTCTGTGTCTCCCTCTCTCTCTGCCCCTGCCCCGTTCATGCTCTGTCTCTCTCTGTCTCAAAAATAAATAAAACGTTAAAAAAAATTAAAAAAAAAACAAACTATATTCAGGTTGAATTACATTGTGTGATTTCTTACATCTTGTCTAGAAGATAGATTCAGCTTCCTATTGCCCTAAGGTAGACAGTGGGGTCATTTTTCAGCACTCAATCGATGGATTTTAAACCTTGAGCCCTTGCTAAAAAAAGAACCACTGAGGTTTGAAAGCTGTGAACCTAACATCTATAACATGGATTAGCTGGTAGTTATTAAGTGAACGGGAAAAGCTTACAATATATTCTTAACCATCAAGGTTTAGGATATTGTTTCCAGTTGTAGCTGTTGTAAGTAAAACTGTTAAACGATACTATGTGTGGGATTAACCCAAATGTATTAAGTATGCACTTCAGAAAAAGAAGGAACAGAGTATGCATCAAACTATAAGTAGTACAAATAGTGTAGTATAACATAGTATAAATATTTATAAATAGTATAAGTATTTCTCTGGTTGCTGGGATTAAAGATGATTTTTATTATAGTTTGTACATTTCTGAATACTACAGACTTTTCCACAGAGAACATGTATTTGACAATTAGGCAAAAAATAATTGGTTTAAAGGTTATTTTAAGAGAGAGAGAAAGAGTGTGAAGGGGGGAGGGCCAGGGAGACAATCCCGTGCTGACAGCACGGAGCCTGACAGGGGGTTTGATCTCACAAACTGTGAGCCAAAATCAAGAGTCCGGCACTTAAGTGACTTAACCGCCCAGGTGCCCTTGGGACAAAATTACTCTTTTCTTTTTTTTTTAATTTTTTTATGTTTATTTATTTTAGAGAGAGAGAGAGAGAGAGACCGAGCATGAGTGGGGGAGGGGCAGAGAGCGAGGGAGACACAGAATCCGAAGCAGGCTCCAGGCTCTGAGCTGTCAGCACAGAGCCCGACGCGGGGCCCAAACTCACGAACTGCAAGATCGTGACCTGAGCCTAAGTCGGACGCTCAACCCACTGAGCCACCCAGGGGCCCCAGGGACAAAATTATTCTTAAACAGGCTGTGAACCTAGGCAAAGAACAGGGAGCTGACCATACTGAACTTTATTCTAGTGATTGCCAAAAGCCTGGTTTGTGGTCCATGATGTCGGTGCCACTTGGAAAACTTGTTAAAGAGGCAGATTTCCTGGCTCCTGCTCTAGACCGCTGAATGCAACTCTCAGGGATGGGGCCTCGTGATCTGCTTTTCAATGAGCCCCTGATTCATTTTTACTCACATTAAAGTTTGAGAGTGAGTCCAGAGTCTAGATTAACTTAAGGTTTGGGAGTTAAAATCTGGTAAGTGTTGTGTTTCAGGCAGGAACCTTGCCTTTCCTGTATGTCAGTTATCACTTCATCTTTGCATCTCCTTTGACTTTCCAACATAGAATTCACTGCAAACAGAGACCTATGGGGTTCTCAACTTGCAGGAGATAAGAAAATATTTTCTGGGACTGCTGGGTGATGCATTGTCCTGAGTCCTTTTCTGGCTAACGGTTTCCCTAAAAATTGTACGCGGATTACTAGTCTTCAAGGAATTAAGACGTAGTGAACCATCCTTACACACGGTGCTAAGAATTATTTAATACATCCTTGAAGATAGTTCGGGTGTCCCCAAAGTACCGTGTGTCCAGAGTGCTTTCCCTCCTTTGTTATACACAAGCTCTAAACCAGCTCTTAAGAGATTGTAGACTTGTCCTCTTTGCACATGTGTGAGGAGCTGGTTTTCACACTTCGGCTAATACAAAGCTGATGTTCACAGTAGGGTTCTCGAGCTGTCCTTACTGCCGTGTATTCGAGCATAATCACCCGCGCCCCCCCCCCCCCCACCACTGACGTTGGCTTTATCACCCTGTTTGCAGCCGATTGCAGAGACGATATGACCTGTGTGAGAGAAGAGATCTTTGGACCAGTTATGTCCATTTTATCATTTGACACCGAAGCTGAGGTTCTGGAAAGAGCCAACAATACCACTTTTGGCCTGGCGGCTGGTGTCTTTACCAGGTATGTGGGGAAGCCACCTCCGGCAGCATTGCAGGAACAGGGCCCGCTCGGTCTGCTCAGAGACCGTTACTCGCATTTCCTCCCTGGAGTGCACGTTGTCGTCAGCATTTTCTGTTTGCTTCAGGTGGAGTCAGAAGGTGCCAGAGTAGCATTTTGTAGTTGGTCCTGAAGGGCCAGAGAACTGCTGCCGTTGGGTTTAAAGTGAGGGACAAACATTGTTGATGAAAATTCCATCCCATGTCATTCATTTCACCGGACGGATATGTAAGGTTCCGATCTATGTGTCGATATGTGTCTATGTAAAGCATCGGGTCGGGTACCTGTTGAAAATGTACACGTCAGGGAATGTAGAAGCCCATAAGCATTTAAACGCTGGGCAGGAGTCTTCAAAAACGTGATTTTTAGCCGCTTTATAGTAGTTCGTAATCAGAATGCATTGTAAAATAGGTAGGCATTTTTTTGGTTGTTGCGTATTTAGGATATTGTTTCCAGTTGTCGCTGTTGTAAGTAAAATTGTGATTAATCTCTCTGTACGTAAACTGTAACCACGATAACAAAAGTAAGAAGTGATTTGGGAGCAGAATCTCCTTCAAAATGATGGCAGGTTGCTCGATTACATACAAACTTTGATTAGTCTTTGGTAGCAGTAGGAAGTTTTCTAAGACTACTTTTACACTTGGAATTACGCTGTTTCTTTGGTGACAGTTGAGGTTAAGTGTTCTTTGTTGCTTCGTGGCGAGCAACCTGGGGAGGAAGACCGAGGTCCCCCCTTGAGGACCTGATGGGATAGCTTCTCTGTGAGCTCTGAAGAAAAGATCGAGGGGCTGCTGCTTTCTCGTGTGCCTGGTTTTGGGTAGGCTTTATTTTTTAGAGTAATTTTAGGGTCACTGCAAAGCTGAGTGGAAGGCACGGAGGTTTCCCATGCACCCCCTCCCCCCAGCCGCCTCCACTATCAGCGTCCCCCCCTCCAGAGCAGCCCGCTGGTTGTAACTGGTAAACCTACTTGGATAGGTCGTGATCACCCAAAGACCACAGTCACCCTAGGGTTCACGGTTGGAGTGGTGCATTCTGTGGGTTTGGACGATGGATCCGCTGTTACAGCATCACACGGAGTAGTTTCACTGCCCTGTAAACCCCCTCTGCGGACCTGCTTTTCGTGGTGTGAGGAGTGAGTGGGTTAAGTCACCCCAGCACAGAGCGAGGCAGTCATGAGGGGGGCGACTCCAGTGTGCTGCCACTTCCCTCACAGCCTCGCAGGTCGGTTCACGCACCATGCAGCATATCCGCCTAAAGCGTACGATTCAGTGGTTTTTAGTGTATTTGTAGAGTCGCACAACCGTCGCCGTAATCTGATTTTAGAACTATGAACCTCCCAGGAACACAGGGAATGTTCCCCGGCAACCACTAATCAACCTCCTTGTTATCTGTGTAGATTTGCTTACTTTGAATATTTTCTATAAATATGGCATCATACAGCACGTGACCTTCTGTGACTGGCTTCTTTGACTTGGAATAATGTTTTCAAGGTTCCTTTATGTCGTGGCAGCTGTCAGTACTTGGTGATGAATGGTCCATGGTGTGGATTCATTTTGTTCATCCGTTCACCTGTTGATGGACATTGGGATTGTTTCTACTTTTCTCCTACTATGAATGTCTCCGCGAACACTCCTATCTTTGTGTGGAAATGTGCGATTTGTGCCGGGTGTATACCTAGAGGAGGGATGGCTGGGTGATTCTGCTCAACTCCGAGGCACCGCTAAACTGGTTCCCATGTGGGGGCACCATCTGGCCCACCGGCCACGCGGGAAGGTTCCAGTTTCTCCACATCCTGGGCAGCCCTTGTTACTGTCTGTCCTTTTTTTTTTTTTTAAATGTTTGTTTTTTACTGAGAAACAGAGAGAGAGAGAGCATGAGCAGGGGAGGGACAGAGAGAGAGAGAGAGACGGAGACCCAGCATCCGAAGCAGGCTCCAGCCTCCGAGCTGTCAGCACACAGCCCGACGCCGGGCTCGAACTCACGAACCGAGAGATCGTGACCTGAGCCGAAGTCCGGATGCTTAAACCACTGAGCCACCCAGGCACCCCACTGTCTGTCCTTTTGACTTCAGCCGTCCTGGTGGGTGGGAAATGGTGCCTCACTGTGGTTTTGATTTGGGTTTCTGGCAGCTGGGTTTTCCACTTTCTTGATACTCTCCTTTACAGCACAAAAATTTTAAACTTTGACAAAGCCTGATGCTTTTATCTTTTTGTCTGTTACTTTTGGTATCCTGTCTGAGAGGGCTTTGTCAGACCCAAGATTATGAAGATTTATTCCTGTTTTCTTTGAAAAGTTTTATGGTTTTTGCTCTGATGTTTCAGGCCTGTGATCCATGTGAGTTAATTTCTATATATAGTGTAAGAAAGGGATCTCCCTTCATTCTTTGTGGAAATGTGGGTAGCCTGTTGTTCTAGCCCTGTTTGTGACAGTGTCCCTTCTCCCCATTTGAACTTGCTGCTGCTACGTGTTTTATAGATGCTTTTGGATGAGCCCGTGAAACTCAAATCCTCGTGTCTATTTTTGCCTGGATGACGCAAGATTTAAAACACATCTTGAAGAATAAAGAATCCGGCAGGATCTCAAAACCTTCAGACCCGGCAGTCTACCTTTTCCGTGGAAGTCGCAGAATGAACTGCTTCGCGATAATATAATACACTGTGTCTTCACAGGGACATCCAGCGTGCCCACAGGGTGGTGGCCGGGCTGCAGGCAGGGATGTGCTTCATTAACAACTACAACGTCAGCCCGGTGGAGCTGCCCTTCGGTGGATACAAGAAGTCAGGTGAGGAGCCGGGAAGTGTGGATGCAAACCCGGCCTGTAGGGACACGGGTTGTAATTCAGAACGCACTGACCCGGTTTCTGAACGTTCGTGTCTCAGAATCACCTGGGAAAGTATACAGATTCTGGTCCTCCCCCGGCCTGCTGCAGTGACCTCTGGGAATGGGAACCAGGCGTCTTCTTACTTTCCTTTCCTTTCCCCCAAAGCTCTCCAGAAGGTTCTAATGTGTATGTAGCCTGGCTTGTGAACTCCTAGGAGGCATCTCAGAAGGGTTTCTCTTGTGGGTGGAATTCCTCTTTCCTCACGGGCTCTGGTAGCTGGTGGCATAAAACCGTTCCTGGAGGCTCCAGACTTGGGACATTTGTTGTCGTCCACTGTGGGGGGTTTTTAGGCGGAAAGTGTCTCTGAGCACCTCAGAAAGCATACGTTAATTTGTTTTCTTTATTCTGCCAAATCACTAAAGAGCCCTCAGTCTAACATTGAACAGTCCGTTGTGGCTATCCTGGTTGTCCCGGACCCTGCACAGGGATGTCCCCCCCCCCCCTGCCCCCGCTGCCACTTGCCCAGTGTTCCCGGTGACGCAGTCAGTCTGGCCCCCCTGACGGTGACACGGTGACCGTGCAAGTCCGGTGTGTGGAGGGGGTGTGGGGGCCAGGACAGGCTCTCTGGAGCTTGTCGCCTGTAAATATTCGCGGGCTGCCCTTCCCTTTCTCTGGAAAGTGGTGTGGACGTTGCGGGGGCACCAGTCTGGGCGCCCGCCCCCAGCCCCTGGGCAGGTGTGTGTGTGGCCGTCCCAGCAGACACGTGAACCCCGATGGGCGCTCGTGAGACGGCGGGTGTTCGCTCGACCGTCTATTTGGCACCTGGCTTGGAAGTGCCCCGGCACGCCCAGGACCTGCCCCCTGACCGGCCTTGTCCCTGCACGGGCGCCACTGCGGCCTGGGAGTCCGGCCGCTGCTCTGCCAGTACGTGCTCTCGGCCGGCTCCCCCCTTGGATCGGAACCTCTGGGTCGGTGCCCTCCGGCTTGTCTCCCTGGGGTGAGGCGAGAAGCAAAGGGGGCACACACACCCACCTAGCTCTGCGCTCAGAGGATAAGGGAGGGAGCCAGAGACAGAGTGAGGCCTTGCCAGGGCCGAGCACCTTTTCTTTTGAAGAGCGCCCCCCCCCCAGAGACGTGTATTCTGGGGGACCGGGCCTTGCCCTTTGGGGGCAGAGCCTCCCGAAGTCAGAGGCAGGGGAAGGCCAAGCACAGGATGCCGTCCTTTGAACGGGTGACCTCGTAACAGGGCAGGACTGGGGCTCTGAGCTGCCGAGCCGCCTGAAGAGGCCCCCGCCCCCGTGAGTCGGCAGGGTGTAAACAGCAAGCTGCTCTTAACAGATTTCACAAAAGGAGGGGTTAAGAGGCCTGTTGTGTAGAGTTCGGTTCTCAGCGAGCACCAACTATCGGTTGTCGTAGAGACTTTCACACTCGATAGGAAGGTCCGAGCGCTTTCACATCCCAACCCGGAGTAGTCGGTGCCTAAAATAAAGTTCTGTTGTAGGACCAAGATGCGGGTATTTCCCTGTCCCCGTCCCCATCCCCGAAGGCCAGTGGGTCACTTCTCCCGTGCGTAGCTGTACAGCTGATGACGTGAACTTGGGGACTTTGTCCCAAACCTTGTCAGTGCTGTGTTCTTCCCCTGAGGGGGTGACTGACTTTGGAGGTCCCCGTGACTTTTCAGGCCACCACGGTGGTGGCTCTTCCTCAGCCTTCTCTTCCTTCCAGGGTTCGGCAGGGAGAATGGCCGCGTGACAATTGAGTACTACTCACAGCTGAAGACCGTGTGTGTGGAAATGGGTGACGTGGAATCTGCCTTTTGAACATACACGGCGAGCCCCGTCCGCGTGGCCACGCGTGGAACGGCCGCTGGATCTCCAGGGGGCCACACGGCTGCCTCGGTTTCACACCCAGAATTGTGTCCCTCGGGATAAGAGAACGGCTCGGTGTTCTTCCTTCCTCACCTCTCAGTTCCCTTCCTGATGGAAAATTTGCCCAAGCGCCTTTAAGACAATCAAGAAAGTGGCGATTTTCTCAAAGCAAATTTCTGCAAAATCTTTAACACGCTTCTGGAGAACAGGGAGAGGGACCAGGATTATACTTGGTCCACAGGTTTGACCCGACAGTGCTCCTCCTCCGGCTTGCTTCAAAGTAGAGCTCGTTTCTTGCTCCCTGACAGTTTTGAGCTCTGGCCCCGTCATGGATTGCATTGCGAGAGCTGACAGTCGGGATGGAGATAATAGCCAGGGTCACGTTCTGTGTGATGGTTCACTTGCCAAAGTAAGCCCTTTGTTTCCACTCAGTGCTGGTGTCCAGTCCTTGAACTACAGCTTTCTCCCTTGATAAATACAAAATAGCTGGAGGCTCCTGGGGCACACTGCAGTTAAATAAATCACACCGCGAATCCTTTCAGCTTTGGGGCGCCTGGGTGGCTCAGTCGGTTAAGTATCTGACTCTGGCTCAGGTCATGATCTTGCAGTTCCTGGGTTTGGGTCCCACCTAGGGCTCTGTGCCCACAGCTCAGAGCCTGGAGTCTGGTTTGGATTCTGTGTCTCCCTGTTTCTCTGTGCCCTCCACCCCCACCCCCTTCTCGCACTCTGTCTCTTTCTCAAAAATAAACATTGAAAAAACCCCTTTCAGCTTCATGTTTTAAAACCAAGCACATCTCAGGGTGATAGTAGTTCACAGGATAGGGGCCAAGGTTCAGTGTGTAAGGCAGGGGCTTTGTCCTTTGCACTGAGTTCGCAACGCCGGGCTGTACTTGCTGTAACGAAGGTTGGCGGCCTGTGGGAGCTTTTAGGCTCCATGTTCTTTGCACCCTGACGAGCAGAGGCTTGCGGAGCTTCTGACCACGGTGACTTCTCCCCCTGCCCCTTTCTCTTCCTTTGAGGGAAATAGTTGAAGTCTGATAGCTGCATTAGTCAGGGTTGTCCGGGAAAAGAGTCACCGTAGAATAGAATAACGGGACAGATAGGCATATGGAAGGGAAGATTCAGTCTGAGAATCGGCTCATGTGACTGTGGAGGCTGAGAAGGTGCGCGGTCTGCCGTCGGCAAGGTGGAGACCCAGGGACGCCGGTGATGTGATCCGGTCCGAGTCTGAGGGCCTGAGAACCAGGGAGCAGAGGGTGTCCGTCTGAGTCCCAAGGCCCGAGAACCAGGACGGCTCGTGTCCGAGGGCAGGAGGAGACGGACGTCTCAGCTCGAGCAGAGACGGGATTCACCTTCTCTCTCCATCTTTTTGTTCCGTTCGGGCCCTGAACGGATTGGGTGTTGCCCACCCGCGTTGGGGAGAGCCATCTGCTTTACTCAGTTCACCAGTGCAGTTGCCAAAAACTTCTGGACAGATCCTCCCAGGGACACCTGGAAATAATGTTCTGCCAGCCGTCTGGGAGTCCCTCGGCCCAGTCACGCTGCCGCGTAAAGGAGCCATCACGGTGGCCACTTTGGCGGAGCGAAGGGGTGGTGTTCCTCGCCAAACCCGCGTCCGACTGTGTGTTGTGATGGGGAAGTGCCGTCGTCGTCTTGCAGGGTGAGGACAACTGATCAGCCTCTCGGCGGTTATTTGCAGAGACGGCATGTCCGGGATACGGGCCAGGCCGCGTGAGCTCATGTCCTGACGGCCTTTCCGCAGTAGGAGCTGCCCGGGCGAAGACGGTTTCCTCTGTTCCTCGACGGCGAAAACAGCAGGTTAGGGGGAACTGGTATCTGAATCCTCGCTGTGTTCCTGCTGCCACGCCCTTCTCACTTAGCTACCAGCCCTGATGTTCCGATGAAGAAACCGAACTGGAGAAGCCTTGGTGGTCACCACCAGGTTGAGGAGCAGGACTCTGAGCCAGGTGGGTGGGAGTTCAATTCTTGGGGTTCCCGCTAACCTTCCCCGAGTCGTGGGACATACGTCCCGTGACAGATCACCACTGACTTTGAGACTTGGAGTCCCACGTGGTGTTGCTGAGGAACCAAGGTGTTGGCAGGGGCCGCACCTCCCTCCGGAGGCCGCAGGAGAGAATCCTTCACCTCACCTCTTCCACGGCGTTCCTTGCTTGGCATGGCCCTAGTCCCTTCCTCCCTCCCAGGCCAACAGCTTAGCAACCCTCTACCTCCCTCTGCTTGCTTCTTACAAGGTCACGTGCGACAGCCTTCAGAGCCCATGGAGCGTCCGGGGTCCTCACTCAGCTCAGGCGCCTTACCTCAGTCACCTCTGCAGAGTCTTCCGGCCTCAGAAGGGAATGTTCACAGGTTTCAGGAATTAGGACCGGGGGGAGCCTTACTCCGCTGCTGCACACCCTGCACCGTCCCAGGCGTGTTCCAGGATGTTCCCCAGCTACGGTAGTTGCCACAGTTGCCAGAACAGTAACAATATGTACAGAACACACTTCAGGTAACATGAAACCAGGAGGCCAGGCCTTCCTCTGGTTTGGAAGAAGTCTCTTCCTCTAGTTAAAGTCCCCTGGACTCGTCTGTTTTCTCTATTATTTTTTTTTTCCAACGTTTATTTATTTTTGGGACAGAGAGAGACAGAGCATGAACGGGGGAGGGGCAGAGAGAGAGGGAGACACAGAATCGGAAACAGGCTCCAGGCTCTGAGCCATCAGCCCAGAGCCCGACGCGGGGCTCGAACTCACGGACCGCGAGATCGTGACCTGGCTGAAGTCGGACGCTTAACCGACTGCACCACCCAGGCGCCCCATATTTATTCTTGAGACAGCGTGAACAGGGGAGGGGCAGAGAGAGGGAGACACAGAATCTGAAACAGGCTCCAGGCTCTGAGCTGTCAGCACAGAGCCCGATGCGGGGCTTGAACTCACGGACCGTGAGATCATGACCTGAGCTGAAGCCGGACACTTAACTGACTGAGCCACCCAGGCGCCCCTCTCCTAGGATTTTCTTAAAGGGGGTAACAGCAGACTAATCCTGTGTCCGCACGACCCTCTGAGCTGTCTGCTGCTTGCGACACGGCTGCAGCTTCTCGCCCAGTGCAGGGGTCCTGCCCAGTCCAGGAGGTCGTCAGCTACTGGTTTTACATTGGAGAGTGGAGCTTTTCCCAAAACGCGACCTCTCCTATCCAGAAGTTGTCTACAATTCCATAGACGTGAACTCTCAGAGCCCGAACTGTCACACCACCGAGCTCTTGGGAGGGACTGTTTGCGTAAGTGACCGGATCAGCAGGGCCGGGTTCACCTTTGCTGCTTAGTGCGGCCCAGGGACCAGCAGGGTCTGCTCCTTAGACCCGAGAATCTCTGTCCCCCTCTCAGACCTAAGCGTCAGAATCTGCATTTGAACGAGGCCCCCAGGGGATCCTTACGCAGGGTAGTTGGCCAGCTGCTGCTCTGAGAGCAGTGGTTCTCCACTTCTGCACGTTAGAAGCGCCCCGAGAAAGCTTGAAGCCATCTGGGGTGCGGCCTGGCCATCTAGATTCTCCGAGGTCCCTGCCAAGGTGAATTCAGCAGACAGCTTGAGAACCACTGCTTTGCTGTTGTGCGGTGTGAGTACAGTAGCCCCTGGCCACGTGTGGTGACTTAACATTTTTGTTTTAATTAAAAAATTTTTTTAAGTTTATTTATTTTGAGAGCAAGACAGAGTGAGCAGGGGACGGGCAGAGCGAGAGGGAGAGAGAGAATCCCGAGCAGGCTCCAAACTGTCAGCACAGAGCCCGACGTGGGGCTTGAACTCACCGCGAGACCATGATCTGAGCTTGAACCAAGAGTCAGAGACGCTTAACCGACTGAGCCACCCAGTGCCCCTACTTAAGTTTCATTAAATAAAAATTCAGTTTGTTAGCTGCTTTAGCCACATCGCGAGGACTTAATGCCACGCACGGTAGTGGATGCCGTACCCGACGCGATGCAGGTGTGGGGTCTCTCCTTGGTGTCAGAAAGTTCTGTCGGACGGCGCTGCTTACGAGGGAAGGAACCGAGACACCGTTCAGTGTTCGAGTGAGTTAGGAGACCACCTGTGGGGGCAGGTGCCGTGAGGGATGAAGAGAGAAACAGGGCAAACACCAGAGCGGGGACTCCTCAGATCCACTCCCTAGAACTCGGGGCAGGTAACCTGGTTGCTGCCCTGATGAATGAAGCTTCACCAGCAGGTGGCTCCCTTGCTTCCCACACCTTGTGCAGCAGCGTGCGGAGCACCGGCTCCTAACTGTCCTCAGACCCTCAAGGACGTTATGTGGTTAAGTGTCCTTTTTTTTTTTTTTTTTTAATTTTTTTTTTTCAACGTTTATTTTTGGGACAGAGAGAGACAGAGCATGAACGGGGGAGGGGCAGAGAGAGAGGGAGACACAGAATCGGAAACAGGCTCCAGGCTCGGAGCCATCAGCCCAGAGCCTGACGCGGGGCTCGAACTCCCGGACCGCGAGATCGTGACCTGGCTGAAGTCGGACGCTTAACCGACTGCGCCACCCAGGCGCCCCTGGTTAAGTGTTCTTATCCCCAACTTAGAGCTGGGAGAGCTGAGGCTCAGGGAGGCCAATAAAGCTGCCCAAGGGCACACGGCCACCCGCGGCGGGGACACTGAGGTGCAGCGTGGAGAATCAGGCGTGGCTGTCTAGTTTCCATCTACCACAGAGCCCAGAGTGTGTTGTCTGCAGAAATACACCAACTCTTGGGGCCCTGGGGGGCTCAGTCGGTTGAGCGTTGGACTCTTGATCGCAGCTCAGGTCTTGATCCGAGGGTTGTGAGTTCAAGCCCCATGTTGGGCTCTGTAGAGTAGGAGTACAGGCTACTTCAAAAAACAAAAAAAACCAAAAAACAGACTTTGCAGCAGTGAGTGGCAGTACTCAGACCAGATTTTCTTTTCGCCACAAGACAAAGGAAGTTTACAGAAAGTAGCTTGCCAGACATGGTCATTCAGTCGCTCTCTTTTAAAATATAATTTATTGTCTAATTGGCTAACATACAGTGTGTAAAGTGTGCTCTTGGTTTTCGAGGTAGATTCCTGTGGTTCATCACTTACAACACCCAGTGCTCATCCCAACAAGTGCCCTTCTCAATGCCCATCACCCATTTTCCCCTTCCCTCCCCCCGCCATCAATCCTCAGATTGTTCTCTGTGTTTGAGAGAACAATGGTTTGCCTTCCTCCCTCTCTGTTTGTAACTGTTTTTCCCCTTCCCCTCCCCCATGGCCACCTGTTAAGTTTCTCAAGATCCACAGATGAGTGAAAACATGATATCCTTCTCTGACTGACTTACTTCACTCAGCATAATACCTTCCAGTTCCATCCACATTGCTGCAAATGGCATGATTTCATTCTCATTGCCAAGTAGTATTCCATTGTATATATAAACCACATCTTCTTTATCCATTCATCGGTTGATGGACATTTAGGCTCTTTCCATACTTTGGCTATTGTTGAAAGTGCTGCTATAAA